ACATACATCTCTACAAATAAATACTTTGAGAACTTTTGGCCTCACAACTGCCTTTAACTCCAGCTCCAGGGAGATTCAATGCCTCTGATCTCCTTGGGCACTCGCACTCACGTACACACATATACACCCCCAACAGACACACACACACACACACACACACACACACACACACAGTTAAAAATAAAATAAATCTCTAATTCAAAAGCATGGAGGCCCCACTCTCTAACTCACCAGACCAAGGTGTAAAACAAATACTCCAAGATCCATTTGAGATGAAGTTTCTTACTTCCCATCCCTCTGAAGACCTGTTTGCAAAGGCCAGGTTTCTGCTGTCAGCCCCCATAGGCCCCAGCTGGGCAGGGCTTTACTTCAACCCCCAGAGATATTTTACCAGTACAACAATGGGCTAGGAAATAGGACGTTCTCCCTGGGCTCCGATGGTTTTGAACTTTCTAACTGAGCAGTCAGGTCTCTTGCCTTCCCATTTTCAAGCCCTTTGGAGTGAGTTCTTGTGAGGTCTCCTCTCATCAGGCCCTTCTTTAACTCCTATGATGGGCTGTGCATATTGCCCTTTGGTTGGCTTTCACTCCACGATTTGGGTTCTGGTTAGAAATGATTACCCCTACAGACTCATGTTGTTGGGGAACTTCTGTGCTGTGTGCAGAGTTCCTTCTTACATTGTTATAGAACAACTTTACTGTCATTTTATCTTTCTGTTACTACATAAAAATTGCTACAACTTAGTGGCTTAAGACAACACATGCTTGATTATGCTCTTAGTTTCTGTGGGTCACGAAAATGGTAGTGGCTTAGCAGATTCTTTTGCTTAGGTTCTCACAACCCTGTGATCTGGATGTCAGATGAGCTGTGTTCTTTACTGGACCTTCACGTCCTCATTTACACTCATGTGGTTGTTGACATTCTTTTCTGGGCACTTACAGAGCTGAGATCCCTGGTTTCCTATTGACTGTCAGATGAGGTGTTCTCTAACAGCCAGAGGCCATTTGTAAGCTTTTGCTCTGTATCTGTCTCATGGAATCCTTAACTAAATGACTACTCTTTAAAGACAGGACCATCTCTAGTTCAGCAAGTTGGAATGTACTGTGGTACTGTGATGCAATAACATATGATGTAAAGAGTGGCTATCCTATCACCTTGCCTAATCAAGGAAGTGACATCCAATTGCTTTTACCATGTTGGCTAGAAGCAAGTCACAGATTTCATCTTCATTCAATGAGTGGGGATTGTACAAGGTTGTGATTGATTAGAAGTCACCTTAGGGTATGTCCACCATACCTACCAGAAAAGCTATCTCTGTTCATTGGGTTTCCCAGACCCTTAACATACTGTTGGAGAAGAACACAGTTTCTTCCCAACATGCCTCAGCATTCTGCCTGTTCTACCACCAAAGGAACTTGCTGGCTTCATTCTTTCTAGATTTGCAGGGCAGGAATTTAGCATGTCTGCTGTCTTCCCACCATAGGAGCCATGTGCTAATCCTCTGCTGTCTTCCCACTGCAGGAGCCACGTGCTAATCCTCTGATGGTTTAAGACTAGTGTCTTCAGATTTGAGACAAAGAAAGTTGAAACTGACCTTGCATCCCAGTCCTCCCGTGGGAGTAAAATGGACTTGTGGTCACAGTATCAATTCTTAAAAAAAAAAAAATTTATACTCAAATCTTTTCTCTTCATAGTCTGAATTCATGCATAAAGTTGATCATGTTAGTGAGTTCAAAACTGAGTAGACTCTTCAACTTCCATAATACAGGGTCTGTTCCTCCTTATGATGATTGCCTTTGTCCTCTTGGTCACTGAAACAGGCTGAGTCATGATAACCTGGCAAGGCGGATCCCAGATCCTATTGGAAACCCATTCTTTGTTCATAAACAAAGAACAGTAACATGCAAGATTTAAAATACGGTAATGACTATTAGGAGAGGTAATTGGAAAATGAAAAGCAGTGCCTTTCGGGGGGGCAGGTCACTGCTATCTTTATAAGCCTTTCAGGACTATTTAATCTTTTAAATGTATTTATCTGTATTCTCCAGATCTTAAAAAGATATGTCCAGAGTCACCGTTTTCACTTTGCCTTTGTCCTTTCCCACCCTACAGTAGGCGCATAGGAATCATTATTCTTCAGTTTGTTCATCTACAGGGGGAGCACAGAAATGCTTTAAAATGAAGAGATTAAAAACTCTTGTGTTTTGAGACCACCAAGGAAATAGGCATCAACTTATCAGTAATGATAAGCCAATTTACCATAATCAAACCTTCCAAAATATTGGATCAAATACGCTTTGTTTATTTTTCTTCCAAAGTTACAATGCAGGCTCAGCTGAAAATGTACCTGCTGCACACAAACTGTATTGGTGACCTGTACTTGACATGGTTTAATGTTGAACTGTTGATTTCAAATTTACATTCCTGCAAGTCAATGTCCACTTTAGTGGAGTGCATTTAAATATACATGACTCTTCCTCATTACGCTAATCTACATTAATACTAGTACTAGACACATTGGCATATAGTTATATTGAGTATATACATGCCAAAATGCTGAAACCAGTTTCACAGCTGGGAACCCATTGGCCAGTTTTACACAAAATAGCTTATTTCAGTGAACACAAGAATCAGGTCAAAGTCAACAGTAGATTTAGTAGATGCAATCAGCAGCCAGAATTGTCAGTTTCTACACTTAAGGAGGTAGTGACCATGGGACTCTCTTTTGAGCTGCCCTTTCCAGCACTTGAAAAATGAAGGAGAAAGCCACAACAGCTCTATTTGTTAAAGTTGTTTATTTCTGTATTGTGAACTGACCCACCTTTGGAAAAGGCACACTTCTTGATTACTTTTGATAGATAATAGGAATTCCTTTTGATGTAGGTAAAAGTTAACTTCTCTTTCACTAGCTTGATACTGTTGCCAGGCAGCGGCTGGCGTCCTTTAGCTCTACTGGGATAGAAATCATGGGTAGGCAAGGATCTTGTCAAGTGCTGGCTTCTGGCAGCTTTTGTATCTTTGGGTGGCCAGCACTAGCAGCCAACAGGTGGGGCAGGTGGTGCCCTCTAGTGTTAAGCTCTTGTGTAGAATTAAGTGTAGAGCTTACCTAGCCAATGAAAACTGCTTTTGTTAAAGTTCACTGTAGCCATTTCCGTGGCTACTGCCCCTCCTTTTGTCACTGTGGCTGCTTTTGCTGCCACCAAGCCCCACTCTTTCCTTTGCTGTGGCTCGGCCCCTTCTGGGGATGTCAGTGATGCAGCCGATTACTTTGCTGCTTTTGCAGCTTGGCCTACAGACTGTTCAGCTCTGTCTCTGCCTGCCCCTGGAAAGGAGGGTTTCCATGGCTCGGCTCCTGCTGCTTATCAGGGTTGGGCGCATCTTTGTTCAGTCTTTGCTGTTTGTTAGGGCCGGGCGGTCCCTGGTTCTTCAGTGTCTGCAGTGGCTTGTTGGGCGCTCTCTGCAGCTTCACCTTTTCTGTGACTGTCAAAGCAGCTACTGAGGTTGCAACACTCGGGGCGGCAGCACGGAAGGAGGCCTCCCGGTTAGCTCAGTGAGCTGAGCAACCTGCTTCTGTAGCCCAGGAGAGCGCTTGCACTCATCATAGCGCACCTTTTGTTTGTGTTTACACCAATCATGGCATTGTCCCTTGTGACCAGTCATGGCAGTCCTCCTGTGAGGCTACCAGGGACAGTGCTCCCCATCTGGCCTGGGTGGAAGTGGTTGCAGGGTCATCTAAACTTTACTGGGGCTTATGATAGTAAAAAACCCAGTGGAACTGTGTGAAACACTTGTAACTGGGGCTGCATTTTCAGGAGTTGGAACCAACAGTTTTGATTGTTGGGTAGTTTCCTTAGAAGTGCTGAGCATCCCATGCTGGGCAAACATCCCACCTTTGAGCTTTACACACGACCTCTAGCTCTCTATTGTTTGGTGCATCAAACATTGCTGCGCAGAAGCTCTGTTGACTGGAGGCTGACACAGTGGTGGTTACCCCAAGAACTGCTGTGAGATGATCAGAAGCTTCTGGTCATCTAGCTGGCTATAGCGCCAAGCATGGGGCACAGGCCTTTCTAGATTCAGTTTCTAGGGTTGGGAGTGTCCGCAAACCATTTTATTAAGTCATCGATATGCCTATGTATCATTAATTTAATCCGTGACCATTTCTAATATTCCTTAGCCTAATTTCCTACCTTGTGGTCCAGATAATACCTGTAAACTTGTGCTAACTTCTATGGTCTGGACTTTCCAATTAACTAACTAGCCAGCTTACCAACCACTCATAATATTTGAATTTCCACTTAAGATAATAGAAAAAAAAAAACCCAAGCATCTTTCTATTCAGACTAACACACTCTCTTTATGCTAAGATTTTTATTTTTATTTACTTTGGTATGCCTATAGTGTATGTACATGTTCATGTGGGTATGTGTATGTGTGTGTGCATGTGGAAGTCAGATGGGGTTTCAGGCATCTTTCTGGATTACTTTCCACCTTAGTTTTGGAGACAGGTTTCTCACTGAAGTTGGAGCTCTTCATTCAGCGAGGCTGGCTGGCCAACCAGCTCCTGGGATCTACATGTTTCTACCTCCCCAGTGCTGGGGCTATAGACATGCACTGTCATGTCTGACTTTTTCACGTGACTGCTGGGGATCTGAACACAGGTCCTAATGCCTGTGCAGCCAGCACTTTACCTGCCAAACTATCTCCCCAGCCAACCCTCTGTGTCAGAATACTTTAAAGCAAAACATGAACATCATAACAAGACATATTTGTTGGATTATATGCAGCTACATTTTCTACTAAATAACAGTTGTCCTGAAGCAGGCGAGCATATACTGGAACACAGAACACTTGATTAATCTTTCTCACTGGAGCTGGTTTCAGCCGGACCAAGGAGGAACATAAATTTTGTTGTTGTACTTCATTCTTTTTCCATTTTTGAAATAAACTTGGCAAAAGACTACAAGTTTCTGGTCATCGCTAAGCTGCCTCTAGCCATTGGAAGTTCTTCATCCTCTCTCAGTGGCATCAGCAGAAAATTGATGTCTCATACATAGCTTCGGCTTACACAGAATGACATCTTTCAAACAGAGGTATGCTCTTTATTTCATGAGTGTGATTCCAGGTTAGCTCCAGGACAAGAAAGCCCCCTGCCTCTCTCCTTTTTCTATTCTCTTTACTTCCTTTCCTCCTTTCCTCTCCCCCCTCCCTTTGTCCTGTTCTATTTCTCCACTGTTGCTTTCTCTTTCTTATTTCTTAAATTGTTATGTTTAAAAAAACCCTTTAGTATAAGACAACCACTGCTTGGTTCTTGGTAAAACAGCACTAAGCTGCTCTACAAAGGGAGCTGCTAAATTTCCACTAATCGGTATTCTAAGCCCTTCCGGGTGTAGCAGCTTCTGCTGCATGTCATAAATAATCCAAATCTCCAGGCTACCCCCTTGGTCAGGGCACTGAGTCTGGTTAGCCCCACCCTGCAGTATCTTTAAGCTTTGCTTGGGGCCTTTGTTTCCTTCTATGGGTGTCATGGAACATTAGTTCCTTGGGCAGGAGCTGAGACATCCAGGTTGCCTTCTGTTATTTATTTATCCTTTCATTCCATTAAATATTTACTAATCATCCCTTCTCAAGAGGAAGAGCGTATACATAAAAATGAGGAAAACATCTCCTTACCACAGTGCGATATTCAATAATGGCTCTCTAACCATAATGCTTGGATATTTCTCTGAGGTGCCTTCTACAGAACTGTGTGTCTGAAGAATGCTGTGTTAATTCTACTTCAAGAACCTAAGGGCTAAAACTATATATCCAGGGGCTAGAATTAACCTAACCCTTTTTCTTTTCTCCCTCATTCCTTTCCTTTCTTTTTTAAATATTTGGTTTCAGAACTGGACTGACAACTCAGTTAAGTGGAGCACACAAGCATTTCCCCGGTGGCACCCACTTAAAGTGAATTGTTTCAGAAAAGGAAAGCAGATCTCTCTCTCAGCTGGAGAGCTACAGAGAGCACAGACTGAGGCATCATGTCTCAGACTACAAACAGGGAGGGGCAAGACAGTGAGATCTGGCCAGGTCACCACATCTCTCTACTGAGCCTGTAGACAAAATGGAAAGGAAACACCTCTTGGGCTCATATATTTAGTAAGGAAATGCTACCCCTCAACAGCATAGTCCTCAGCACAGAGCAGGTGCTCAGTAAACAGCTACTTGTTTACTAAAGGAATGTTTGAATTGAATTTCCTCTAAAGTACCTTTGTCTGATCCCACAGCATTTACGGACCTCTGGACAGAGTCCTGTGCCAGCTTTTTGGTAGTAAAGTCTCCATAAAAGCAAGGCGTAAAACTGCAGGAGGCATGAACATTCAGAGTCTTGAAGATGTGATTAAACGCTCAGTGTCCTGTCTCTAGGATGTGTCTGCAAATGAACTTGGTTAGTTCCATGGAAACGAACCAAATCTTTCAGCAAATGGTGGAATGTTTTCTCTCCCTTTGCTTTTATATACCCATCCTAACTTAAAAATACAATTTTGATTAAAATGATCTCCAGCTTGCCCTTTCTGAAGGAACAGGAAGCTAGCTGGAATGTCGGTGTCCATGGGTCCTAGATGAGAATGTCTCCATTTAGGTGGAGCAGAGTTCCTAAAGTGAGACCTTCTTTGCTGCATTTTGATGCAGTTGGTCACATGAGGTTCAGATGTGGACCTTCAGATGTGGACCTTTCCACTTGTGGCATCATTTCAACACTCAAAACATTTCAGATTTTGATGCCCAGATTAGGGAAGTTCAGCTTGTCTTTGACTATGTTTCACTATGTACTTTAAATTTTATAAAGCCTTAGGATTTGTGTCAAATCTTATCTCCTCCTGGAAATCTTTAACAAGTACAGGATGATTTCCCACTCCACCTTTTCCACATTGCCCTCTATTCTGTGTTGGCACTTTCTGGAATCCATCCTGCTTTTCACTCCAGTTGACCTCACCGAGCTCAGGACTGCATTTAATCCTAACCTCTTCTCCTTACCACACAGTGCCCATGGCTGAAGCCCTGCTGCGTGTGGCAGGCCATAGTCTCTGAAACAGGCCGTCATCAGCCCAGACGTGGGACTTTTCCCAATTCGCAGGCAGAATCTTTTAATTCGCTAGGTATGAACCTATTGGGCTATATCTGTCAGAGGAAGTAGCTTTTACTAAGCTGCATGAAGGTGACTCTGTGTGTCTTAATTACTCCCAATCCTGCCCCATCTGTTCTGCTTTCAAATTATTCTAAACATAGCAGATAAATAAATCTTTAAAAATGTAAGCAAATCTTTTTGAACACAAAAGCCAGCCTCTGTGGATTGCCAACTTTTAAGTGTATTGAGTATTGCAGAAGCATTGAGAAGAGACAGCCTGACGGGTAGTGAAATGAGAATCTTCTAGCACCATGCTCAGAATGTAATGTGCACACAAATCACCATGGGAGGTCATTACAGTGCCGATGGTGAGTGTGAGGTTTGGACGGGCCCTGAGATTCTGAATGTCTAACAGGCACCACTGATGTCAGTCAGAGAACCACATATTAAATAACAAGGAAAGTTCATGTAATCTTTACATAGGTTTCTAGAGGTAAGCATTTGAAATATGATATTCTGATTGAAGGCATAGGTGATCAAATTGATTAAATGATTTGTTCCAGGTCATGCATATTACTAGAAGAGGCACAAGGACTCGAATTTGAGTCTGACAAATTCAAGACCTATTTTAACCACTACAGTGTTGGAGAGAAGAAAATAGACTTAAGGAAGAGGTTCAATTCAGGAAGTAAAACAGACAAGCATTGTGGGTTGACCTTGACCTTCTCAGTCAAATTAGTGAGCAGGTCACTAGCTGTTAGAAGTGGAGCCTGAAGTGGTGGGACTGAAGAATTCAGCATGAGTTCTGAGAGTTTGGGGCAGCCCTAGGGATTATTTGCTGGATCACCTGTGGGAGCAACAAAAGCTGCATGGGCCCAGATAAAGGAGGGGGATTGCATTTGCCAAGGCTCTAAATTAAGGCTTCCCAAACTCCACATTCAAATGGGATCCTTAGACAATTTTAAGGCTCTGGGTCTGGGATTCAAACATCAATAGCGTTTTAATACGATGTGGGTAATTCCAAGTTGACTATTTGGGAAACCAGGTATGCAGACTATTTGCTTGTAGTGCTAAAGGGGCTAAGTGTTTTATTATTTATAAAGAACTCAAGGAACATTGAAGAGTGGCATAGTTCAGAGTTTGGCAAGCCTTTTTTTGTATAGAGCCAGATAGTAAATAAGGTATTTTAGGCTTCATGGTACATGAAATGAAATTGAGGTTATCAGATAAATGCTTATATAACAAGAAAGCAAACAAGTTCCCACAGTTTTCTGATGAAATCTAAAACTTCATGGACACTGAACACCAAGTTATAATCTTCACATGTTATAAACCACTATATCTCTTTTGATTTTTTGGTTACCATTTTGAACATGCAAAATCATTCTTAGCTTGTGGTTGGTAACAAAAATCGGGCTAGGTTTAGCTCCTTGGGCTGAAGTTTGCTGACTCCTGATGTAGTTAGTGATGCACCTTGATGAATCTAAAGAAGCCATCAGAAGTCTGCATTCAAATGCTTGTCTTACTCAACTGGCAGTAATACCTGACTGAAAAAAAAAATCACTGTTCTTTCTGAGGACAGTGTCCAAAGGGAACGGCACCCTTTCCAGGCAACGCTTCTTTCACCCTCAAATGCTTGTCTTACTCAACTGGCAGTAATACCTGACTGAAAAAAAAAAAAATCACTGTTCTTTCTGAGGACAGTGTCCAAAGGGGACGGCACCCTTTCCAGGCAACGCTTCTTTCACCCATATTTTTCCCAATAAATAAAAAACAGCTGATTGAAAACATGGTCAGCTGCCTATGTGAAGCAGTGGTGTTCAATTCAAAATGAGCCAAAATATTCTACATGCATCTCTTAAAAACACAGATGAGATTTTGATTGGCTATTAAGCCATCTTGGTATTTAACCAGATGTCCACTCTTCCAAGGCCTCGGATTGTTAAAGACTCCTTGCTAAAGAGTGCGAACCTCTTGTGTTTGGAATTTGTGTATTTTGATACAGGGATTAT